TCTGCCAGAATGACTCACCACCTTCAGATTCCTCCAACACCGTTAAAAATGATCAAATAAGGAACATATCAGCGTGCGCAGGCCAGAGTGCTGAAGCTCGGCACATTGTTATTATGAAGCTAGGGCACATGTGGAGGACACGCGCGCGCGCGCAAAAGTATACTTGTTTTCAATTACATTTATTGTGCCCACTTACTTTTTCTTTGGCCCACCCACAAATGAGTTTCTACGCTAATAGTGACATATGACAGTCTTCTCTGAGCTCCGCAGCCATTACAACTATTCACCTCGCGCACCCCCTAGTGGCAGCACCACACTTTGGGAATCCCTGAATCTGAATGGGTCAAACTGAACTGCTGTATGTATCCAGTGGCGCAATGGTTGGTGCTGTTGCCTGGCATCAAGAAGGTTCCGGGTTTGCCTCTCGGCTTGGGATAGTCCTTTGTGGAGTATGCATTTTCTAAGACTATTCTTAAGACTGTTTTAAAGCTTCATTAAGACAAGGAGGCTGAAACGATCTATTCTAAATGGCTAAAATGAAATAGGTGCATTTACAGCAAACAGCCACCGGAGGGCAGCATTTCCCACCTTCTCTTTATTCCTTACTGCTGTTTGTGGCCACCAGAGGGCGCAAATTTCCCACTCTTTTAAGCAAAAAAACAGTGTTTGGAAGAAATTAGTGTTTCTACTAAGGAAGTCTTTTATCTTTACCAATACAGGTTCACCCCCTTCAAATCCTCCTCCTTCATAATATTATAATTCCCAAAATGTTTATTAAAAACATTAAGATTTTTTAAAGCTTCATTTAGACATGGGGGGGTGAAATCTTCTAATTTAAATGGGTCACACTGAATTGCTATAGTTATGCAGTGGCGCAATGGTTAGAGATGTCGCCTGGCATCAAGAAGATTCCGGTTTGCCTCTCGGCTTGGGATAGTCCTTTGTGGAGTATGCATTTTCTAAGAATATTCTTAAGACTTTTTTAAATCTTCATTAAGACAAGGAGGCTGAAACGATCTGTTCTAAATGGCTAAAATGAAATAGGTGCATTTACAGCAAACAGCCACCGGAGGGCAGCATTTCCCACCTTCTCTTTATTCCTTACTGCTGTTTGTGGCCACCAGAGGGCGCAAATTTCCCACTCTTTTAAGCAAAAAAAACAGTGTTTGGAAGAAATTAGTGTTTCTACTAAGGAAGTCTTTTATCTTTACCAATACAGGTTCATCCCCTTCAAATCCTCCTCCTTCATAATATTATAATTCCCAAAATGTTTATTAAAAACATTAAGATTTTTTAAAGCTTCATTAAGACAAGGAGGCTAAAACGATCTATTCTAAATGGCTAAAATGAAATAGGTGCAGTTACCAATTTGGGATCTTTCTGCATGGAGTTTGCATTTTCTAAGACGTTCGGTAGATCCCTTTGGCTGGTTAGTTAGAAAGTAGGAAATCTAGGAAACAGTTTTTCTGGAAGACGGAGAAAACATGCAGCACGTAGGAAGTTTAGAGAGAGAAAGGGCAGGAATTTATTAAAATAAAATCAAGAAAAAAGTAGGCAGATTTATCCCCAATACACATTTTTACCAGCGAAAAGCAATAATATATAAGCATTTAATCTTTATACATGTGATAGAATCAGATCACCCCAGAAGTCGGTCTCCAGGGCCGTATCAAGGCATTTGGGGACCAAGGCAAATATGGTCTTGGATCCCCCACCACCTCACTCCTTGCTCAGTTAATACAAGATGGCAGCGTGCTGAGTACAGATTGTTGTTGCTTTTATTTAATAAACAATCATTCAAAAGAACTGTTTTTAACAGCAGTCCTAGCTCAGACACCACACCACTTTCCACATATATGTCATGAGCTCACTGAGCGTCAGATTACCAGATTCATACTGAAGTTGTTTTGGTGAAAGTAACTTAAAGTAATGCAAAAGTAGTGTAATGCCTTACATTTTAAAATCAGTGATCTTGTAATGTAATGAATTACTTTTAAATGAGGGTAACAAGTAATAAATAATGCATTACAGTTTTGAAGTAACTTGCCCGACACTGATTTTAAGTGTATAGAGCTGGTTGGTTGGTTGGTTGGTTGGATGGATGGATGGATGGATGGATTCCTTAGGCCTAGCCGATCGATTAGATGTCTCACACGTATGGGTGTGTAATTCCATTTAGCCAGAAGATGATTGACCTTTCTCAACCAATCAGGGGGCTAGGTGGGAGCGGGGCACTTTCCCACCTTCTGACGGTCAATCAAATTGAACTTGTTTCTAGTTTTAAGTACAGATAGTTCAAAAAGATCAAAAACAGGCGTCTGTTATTGGCTCATTGTTCAGCTTTTTAATATCCATTCCTGTGAGACTTGGTTAAAGTGATATGTAGTTCCTTGTGTTGCCATGGTAACAGATAACGCATTTAAAATTGATTACAAGATTCCTGAGACCAAACTGGTCGATTTGATGTGTCATATATATGGGTGCCGGATCCTGGTTGGACAGAAAATGGTTGAACACTCTCAACCAATCAGAGAGCAGCACTGCCTTTTCACCCAGCTATTTTTAGGCCTGCGGCTGTACTCCTGTTAATGAGAGAAGCCTTTAAATCTGTCCTTCAGATGTGAAATTGGACCTGTCAAACTTCTCATCACCATTCGAAAAGTACTGCACCGAACTGAAAATTTCAAAAAGCATGAGCGGCAGAAGGCTTTGTTGGTCATCTGTGTGGATTTTTATGTGCCTACCGTGAATTGTCTTGAAGCTATGACGAGAAACTTTTAGCTGCCTGAAGCCGATCAGAGGAGAAAATCTCTGTACCTTTAACATGGGTTTCAATGAGGCAGAATCTGGGTCTCTCCTCCTTCTGAGGCTTGTAGCGAAAGAACGGTAACACTTACAGAAAAAATGAAACCCATTCTGAAAAGCTGACAAAAGTTCCTAATTTTTGAGTTATAATTTGTTTTGGTAGTCCAAACAGTCTGGGGGTAGTAAAGAGTTGTTCACAGAAGATGTGAAGTTCAAAAGTTAGAGTGGGAACTTTCAGTTTAGAGTGGGGAGAGACATTTTTTTATTTGAATTTTCTCAAACAAATGAACCGTACGGCCACAATGTTTGGAGTACAGTCATGAATTATAGCTCAAAACGAAGGTATATTCGTTAGATGTAAGCCAGCATGTGTCTCATTTCAATCTGACCTACGGTTCTCTCGGGACAACGCCAGAAATGGAGCAAGGGAGGGTCACTGCTCCTTCCATTATAACTTTTGTGAATTTTTCTGAAAATTTCAAGTCGTACCTCAACTTCTACCTGCGATTTTACAAAAACCGTAAAAGATATTCAAAAATGCCTCTTTAATATGTTAAACAGGAAAGTCTTGTGAGTTTGTTAAACTTTGAATGAAGTCTCTAAGTTAAAAGGAACCCAATAGAGTTTTAGGTCAAAAAAGTGATAGGAATTTGCTGAAAATTGACCAATCCCATTCATTTCAATGGGAAAATTTTCGCAGAAAAAGCTTAATAACTCGAAAATTTTTAAAGATATCAATGCCAGAAGTAATAGCCGGAAAGAGCTTAACGAGCTGAACGTTTTGATATAAAATTGTTGAAATAGCTCAAAATTTGAAGGAGAAGAAGAGGTTCAAAAAGTGTACGGAAGCAGAATAAGAAGAAAAGAGGAAAACAATAGTTTGAATGCTTAACAGCATTCAAACAATGAATACAAATCCACCAAAGAGCACCAAGTTCTAGCTCTTTGGGACTCAGCTTGTTGGAGCTAAAATATTACTGTCAGAGAAATTCAGTTGTTTTTCTCTCAATCAGGTAATCCGGTAACAAGTGTATGAGCTCCCAGTTGTCATAACAACTTTTATTATTGTTAGGTTTTGTATCAAACTGATTAATCCTATTTCTTTTAAAGATGATCAAATTATTTCATCTTTTGTTGATTTTCTGATTTAGGATTTTCATCTAAAAATGAAAGTTAAATTAGATATTCTGCACACAACCATTTAATCTGGACTTGTGTCCTGTTAATAATCTGATATTTGACCCTTTTAGTGTTCTGGTTTGAATCCCCTTCCGTTAACGGAGCAGTTTCCCATTCCCAATCTCTTTCCACATAAAGCCGATTCAGAGAAGCGGACGGTCTTGGTGTCCTGACCACCTGCGCTTGCTGTCACAGACACGAGACTGTGGAGAGGGACTCTGATACTGACCTGCACTCACACAGGTGGGAACACACATCAGCTCCTCTGCGTGCAGTCTTCATTGCAGGCGCTGCAGATATTGGCCCCAGTCCCGATGTGCTGCAGCTTTCCCAAACAGATAGTGATACAGGCAGAGCGCAGAGAGCACAGCAGGTAACGGCTGCCTTTTGTTTGGGAACATGGGATCAGAATGTTCTACATCTGGTGGCATCAGGAAAAGGCTGAAGAGAAAACTCACCAAAATCACCGATAATAGGTTAACTTTGCTCTGCAGTGTTTAAATACAGCCTTTACACACACACACACACACACTCCTGATTTGAACTGAAATGCAATTTAAAAACTTTTTCAAGAAATGAGTTTACAATGATAATGTTCATGTCTATCGTTTCTCTGCCGAATTATTTTTAATAACAAAAATTAACTTTGGGGGCCAATTTTCTTTACCAGTTAAAATACGATTATTCAAGATTTATTAATTACAAAGCCTCTAATTAGATTTATCTTTAATCGAGTCCCAGCCCTGGTAAAAACGTGACTTTAAAGAATTGGAAGAGTAAGTAAAAGTTGAGGTGGCTCGAGCATCTACTTAGGATGCCTCTCTGGTGAGGTTTTCTGGGCACGTCCAACCGGTAGAAGCCCTAAAGGAAGACCCAGGACACGCTGGAGGGGCTATTTCTCCAGGCTGGAAGGAAAGGAGGAGCTGGCCCAGGTGGCTGGGGAGAGTTAAGTCTGGGCCTCCCTGCTTTGGCTGCTGCCCCCACGACCCGACCCCGGAAAAGCGTTCAAAAATGGATGGATGTGAAAAATTTTATTAAAAGAGCTAAAAACAAGACAGAAACTATGTACACACATCTACAGCAAAATAAGAGGTTTCATAATTACAAACACACTGGAATGATTCAACACTTTGTTCTCTCAAAGGCACTCAGAATACAAACAGCATTCACATTCCTGATCAATTCATTTTGACTGTAAACAACAACCGATAAAACAGTAACTAATCCACCGAGTCAACACAAGTCACAATACTCCCATAGCCAAGTCGAAAACAGGTTAAGTCCTCGGCGGGTTCAGGAAGCAGGTCACTACTCTTCTATTACAAAAAAAAAAAAAAAAAAAAAAAAAAAAAAAAAAAAGATTTAAGCCAATTCCTAATTTACAGCCACAAACTGCAGAACAACACATATTTATATATTACATTTTACATTATGAACATATTTACAACAGAACTTTCTGATTCAGGGGTGCGTGGTTAATGCTGACTTTTAAAGAGTCAGAACCAAATCCTCAGATACCATTTAAGAGACAAATGTCTCATAAATATCAATAATCTGCACAGAAAGCTATCGTAACAGATCAGGGCACAACAGAGACTTGAAGTGTTTTTTTTCCCTGATGGGCTTTGATTTAGCAGCAGCAACACTTTAGGGCTTGAAACAGAAAGGGAATAAAATTCAACAGGAAATGTTATTTTTGCCTTAAATGACAGAAAACATCTTTGGCAGTGTTACAAATGCCCAAAAGGACCTTTATAAAAGCTATACTCCTGTTGAGCCGTTTATGGAAGTGTTACTGAAAAGTTCATCTTTCATACATGCGTTTTAAAAAGCTCCGGCTTGGAGTGATTCAGATATAACGTAGCCCTTTGTTCAGCTCCTGGTTCTACGTCTGCTGAAACACTTGGTGTGGTGATAAACCTGACCTCTGAACGCTGTAACCAACAGTGGAAAAAATACAAATAAAACATGCAGCAGCATAAAGTGTGACAAATAGGGATGCAAGATCCATCGGCGCTGGCCGATGCTGGTCCTTTAACACATCGGTCCGTTTTCAGAGGGAAGGGGAGACGACGCGTAGTTGTTTACTCGTGTGAAAGTGACGGCAATCGTCTCTGAAGCATAAATGTGTGTGGTGTGTATACATTGGGGGGGGTGATGAGAACCTGGCAATACAATTTATATAACTTAATATGAGAGGACACGATAGATTGTGAAACTAAAAGTCAGAAAATATCTGCAGTGTTTTTACACTGATGTTATTGAGAAACTCGGGCCAGATGCTCATCCAGTGTTATCGCCAGGTCTTGTTCAGTCAGAGTGAGGGTGGTAAAAACTGTTGCCACCTAGCAGTCAGACTAGTTCACCATGCAAAAGGGAAAAAATGTATGTCTGCATGTAAATTCTTCATAAACAAATCTCTACACTGCTTTTATATGATTGAATAGGACACCAAATATTGCGATATTTTAGTGAATCGTTATTTTCTTACATCCCACATATACTAATGTAATACCGGTTATCAGATTAACAGCGATTTCATAATCGGATATTGATATCGGCCTTTACCTCGTCACATCGGTGCACCCCTGGTGACATCAGGATACGTTCTAGGGAGCTAGAGATAACTAGACGTGTGTGATAAAAACGTGATTACATCTATAAACTGAGCTTTTTTTGTTCCATGTTTTTCATGTACAAAACTTTCTAAAAGTTGTGCAAATTATAATTAAAATATAACAAGACCAGTATTGACAATAAAGGATTAGATTTATATAGCGCTTTCCATTATTCACGCGCTCTCACATTACTACGTAGCCACAGCCGCCCTGAGATGGCCCGACAGAGGCGAAGCTGCCATTATGCACCATCAGCCCCTCTGACCACCACCCATACAGGCAAATCAGGTAAAGTGTCTTGCCCAAGGACACAGCAGTAGAGAGCTGGAATCTATCCTGCTCTACCTCCTGAGCTACTGCTGCCCCAATATCCTCTGGATACACACGAACATAAGTTAAATAAAGATATGGGGGTTTAAATATTAAAAATAGAAGTTTCGGATTCACACTTGTGGTAAACTTTGTTGAATAATTTAAATGTCTTTAAAAACGGCCAATCTATCTTTCTTCCAGTGTTCAGGAAACAGAAGCAGGGAACGCGTTCCCGTTGTCCAGCTCCGACATGGGAGTCTCATCGGTGCTGACGATGCTGTAATGACCCGTCTCCGTGTCCCTGTGTGTCCGTCGTCTTCTGTCCCACACAACAGAGTGGACCAACCCCACTGGGACAGGCAGCATGGCGAAAATGATCAGTAATGACAGAACAGCCAGCGCCCAGCCAGGATACGGCAGATGGTCCTCAGACGCCTGAAAAGAAGAAATCCAAAAATTGACCTGAGTGGCACTTCTCATTTAGTTTATATTTAAAAAATACAGGAGTAGAGGAAAGAGCAGGACACAGCCCGTTGCACCTAAGCAATGTTGACTTTGAACAAGGCTTGATGTGTTTTGTAGCCGTCAAGCTGCCAAAACTGTTGAAGCATTAAACTTTCAGATGCACAAACCAAAATGTGTCAAAACCATTTCATGCAACAGTTCTGTGTCAGCAGGAATAAACCGGTGCGATTCTTCTACATCAGTGCACCTTCTCTCACCGTTTCCTGGTTCCACGCCATGTACGTTGGTGTTTTTATAAACATGCCGATAATGGTAGCTCCCAGCAGGCCCAGCATGGCCAGCAGGCACACGTATTTCCACAGGTACTTGTAAATGACGGGAGGACGCCAGCCCAGCATCCCCTCGATGTCGTCGAGGAATCTGGGACAAACAAAAAGCACACGATGCAGTGATGCTGACTTTAAACCTCCCATCAGACATTGGAAGGTGTGTGCAGAAACCTCACCTGTCAGCTCCATACAGCCACGACACGCTGAAGGTTTCAAACACGACAACAATGATGAGCGGAAGCGTGGCGGAGTAATCGTCAAACATGGTCACAAAGTAGTTCCCGCAGCGCTGGGTGAAGAGGAGGCCGATCAGGAAGCCGATGATGCAGCTGCCAACTGAAACGACAGAGACTACCGTGAGCCATCGGTCTGTGAGACAGCTGCTCTCTGGGCTGTTAGACACAAAAGTGTTAGAAAGTTACATAAACAGACCGGTCCCATGGGGCATAGGGTCATGGTTAGACTCACTGACCCCTCCTTTCCACCGGAGCCGTGACGGAGCAGTCAGCAGCACGTCATAGCTGCTGATAGGAACCGCTGTGGTCAACAGAACCTTTTCCACCGGAGCCGTCAGCAGCGCGAGTCGACCGGGTCTCAGGAGCAGCATGTCGCGGCCCTTATGCGCCGGTTCTATTTTCTACACGCGACGCCTCTGAAACGGGTCAAGTTCGACATTTTTGGGGAAGGAAAGACAGGAAATCGGACGCGGAAACGGAGCGAAGCTTCATGAGATTTTCAGAATAAAGAACGTACTGCCTTCCGGTCGCTTTACTTTAAAAAAAAGTTACTAACTGTGCGGCCCCGTGAGAAGTCATCACCCAGCTAGCGGTCTCCTTTGTTTTTCAGGTCCGTATTGGCAATTATAAAACGGACAGAACATAAAACACAAACCTTTTGGAGCCATGTTGTAGTTTTCTCCTGCTTGTTGTTGTGTTTACTGACGAAGTCACTCGTGTGACTTCGTGCTCCCCTGCTGCTACGCGTCTCTGGGGGGAAGGGACAAGCAGCAGCTTACGCGAGCAAGACGTGCTGCTGCAGTAACGTGCTGCTGACGGCTCCGGTGGAAAGGAGGGGTTAGTCTGTTTACCGAATAAGTTTTGCAACATTGACTGCAATGCTCTTCATATACTGATGGAAACCAGTAAATGAAATTGTTTTGTCAAAAAATAAATGTAAAAATGGCGGTTATTGTCTGGAAACACAGTCTGAACTTTTCCGGCTAGCAAAAGTGTGTGTTCTGGAACGTCTGTCACTCACTCACACACTCTCACACACACTCTCACACACACTCTCTCACACACTCACTCTCACACACACACACTCTCTCACACACACACACTCTCACACACACACACACTCACACACACACACACTCACACACACACACACTCACACACACACACACACACACACACACACACACACACACACACACACACACACACACACACACACACACACACACACGTCATGAGCCAGCAGAGAAGGGCAAGGTGGTGCTGAGCTGTGATTTTAAAGTTAAGAATAGGGCAAGAGAGCTAAGACCTGCCTTGTTCACCATAAAAACACCATGAAGTAGGTATAGGGTTATGAATGTAGGAGTTATAGCAGAACGATTGTGTTATTATGGTTGTTCGATGGTATCTGTTTCAGACTTGGTGACTTTTGAGGGGAGGAGGAGGAAAGAGGGTTGAACTCTAAAATGTTTTTAATGTAGTCTGCTTGAATGTCTTGTTCCAAGAACAACTACTCTACCTTTAATTCCATCTAAATGTATTTCATTTCATTCAGCCAGGTTTCCAACCCCTCTTGAAGTTCTTCACACTCTGGCTCATGGAAACCAACATGAGAAGGGTTCCAGACCCTTTCCAGATGCCCACAAACACTCTGGGGTAACTTGGACTTTAACCGTTGAATTAGACTCCCTCACCGTTGACCTTAAAGTTTAAAGAGCAAGTCACCCTCAAATCAACTTTTTTTTCCTGATAAATAAATGCGTGTCCAATCGTGCTGCAGACACGTGTAGTCAGTAGTTTTGCACTTTAGTGAAAATTTAAATTTTCTGCCTAAAACTGTCAGTGTTGTGCCGTTGTCAGGTAAAAACTCTGCACTACATTTGAATTTAAATCTGCCATCGCTATTCGCAAAGAGGTGCACTATGATGTTAGATGGTAGATTATGAAGTCACAATGTCGTGTGTGTATTTGTTAGCGGCTCTTCCCTCTTGGTCTGCTAGGCAACAGCATTTGTTGCATTTTTCAAACAGGAAGTGGGAGTTGAGTAAGAATCTGGCAGGGGGTGACTTGCTCTTTAAATTCCATTTCATCCTCAAATGCCAGACGAGCAGTAAGTTAACATTCCTGTAGTAGAATCAGGAGCTTACTTGTGAGTTTGGTCTTGTTCTTGGACAGACACTTGAAGCGGTCCCTCAGGGGGGCGAGGATGCCCTCCATGGTACCAAACATGGTGCTGAGACCCAAGTTGAGCAGCATTAGGAAGAACAGGGCCGACCAGAAGGGGCTTCCAGGTAGCAGGGTCATGGCCTCTGTGAAAGCGATGAAAGCCAGACCCGTTCCCTCAACGCCCTGAGCAGGACCAGAATCACCTGATGTAGTTTCAGTGTGCAGCGAAAAAAAGAATAAATCATGACATAAAGGACAGAGCTTGTCACCTTCTGCATCTCCTTTTCCAGGTCACAGGCTGTAATGTTACACGGTAGCTGGTGTTCATTCTGTTCAAGCCAGCGGGTGTAGTCCTCTAGAGCCACAGATCCTGGATCAGAGTAGTTGAAGGTGGGCAGCAGGTGTGTGTCCAGCACACAGCTGTGCTCTGACAACTTCTGTACATTACTGAAACACAACACAACAGACACTTGTGGTTCTCCGAGTTAATAATCAGTGTGTTTGAGTAGATTTTCCTCACTGCTGTAAACACACCTGGACACACACGCCATGACAGTTTTTTTGGCCCTGAATCCAAGCACAGCAAACACCACCAGAGTGGCCAGCACCGACGTGAGGAAGTTAATGAAGGAGACGGTGAAGGCGTCGCGGTGGCAGTTGTTGTTCTTTGGGTTGTATGAGGAGTAGGCGATGATGGAGCCGAATCCCAGGCCCAAAGCGAAGAACACCTGAGTGGCTGCCTGACGCCACACCTGTACATCCGCCCAGATCTCCAGCTGGAAAAGCAGAATAAAAGGTTAATCAGAGGAACCTGCCTTGCTCCCTTTCCTACAGCCACATGTTTAATTGTTGTGTACCTTGGGGTAAAACATGTAAGCGATTCCTTCTGAAGCTCCGTCCTGCAGGAGTCCTCGGATCAGGAAGCAGATCAGCACCACATAAGGGAAGATGGAGGAGAAATACATCACCTGCAAGATGGAGGGAAACAGATGTAATTCCTACTGATCATGTCCTCATGAATTCACATCTGGATTAGAGTCTTTGTGGGAATAGGTATAAATATTCACTATCTTACCAGCTTCCTGAACGACCTCTATTTGGAAAAACAGAGTTAACGTCTGACTGGCAAGATAATAAGCTGCAGCCAAGACCAAAGGGCACTGCTGTTACCTAATGTTTACACAACTGTAACGTGATGAAGGAGCCATTTCTCCCCTCTAACAGCTGTTAGAGTGCATGAAACAGCCCAAGGTCATGCATTCACTCCTAATGTTTACATTCCAGCAGTGAAGACAGAAGAACAAAGAATGAACTCTTTTCTTTTAATTAACCAAAGAACTCTATTTTAATAAAGCTAATCAAAACAATTGTTAGTCAATAATAACCATGTGACCGATCTGTGAAATCACAATGTTATGATTAATGTTTAATAAGGAATTGACGTATTGTAGCCACTAGACAGCTGATTCACAAGATAAATAATCATGACACATTCCGGTCGCAAAATCCAATCAGAACCTCCACATCTGAAGCGTGGCAGAGTCTCTGTGGTGTTTATTAATCTGTCAGCTGTGATTCGTCCAGAAACGAAAACATCAAAGATTAATAAGTCAGAACAACGCCATTTTGAATTCAGAATTCAGCCAGCACCCGGTTTCACCAGGCCGGCAGCCGACCGAAGTTCTAGAAGAGCCTCTCGGTCATAAGTCAGCAACAAAGTCACATTACACACGAAAACACTCAAAAATAATACAAAAATCAAATAACTGACAGGACACAGACGGCCTGCCACGTACACCGGCGCCATCTTGGACTCCAATCAATACCTCTTCAGAGGATGAGATGAATGAAACACTTGTTAAAGCCAGGGACATCCATGATTAAATGCTAAGTACCTTGACTGATGACTTGATGCCCTTGAACATTCCCAGGCACACGATGGTCCAGGCCAGCAGCAGACAGCCAACGATATACACATTAAAGGAGCCCATCTCATCGATCGAGTCCGTAACGTCCAAAGCTTTGCGGTACCAGAAATAGGATGTGGGAGAACTGCTCTTACATTCTTTTACTGGTAAAAAACAAATAAGCAGTTATGTGTCACATAAGACAAACTGGTCACATGTTCATTTATTTAACTGCTCATAGTTTTGAACTTTAATTTTGTTTACCAGTTATATTTCCCAGTTCCGGACACTGTTCCCACGGTAACGGGTACTGGAACGAGTTCCCAAAATAGTAAAGACTCCAGGCGAGGATCACGTTGTAGTAGAGCGCCACAAAGAAGCAAACCTGGAGGAGTTTAGTCAGGGTTATGTCTCAGTTAGTGGAAAAAGTAACATATTAAGGTGAAGCGTCTAAATCATTGAGTGTGCCTTTATCTACATTATACAAGTTATTTCTAATAGCAGAAATATCAACAAAATTCTGCAGTTACATAAACCGACTGTTTGCTTCAGTCTGAATATATAAATATGTTTTGAAAGGAAAGAGAAAAATAATTTAGTAGCTCTTTATCCAACTGCAGGATAAAGAGGCTCCAAGCAGGAAACTCCAGACCGAGGTGAAAGTGTGCTGAACCAACAGGCCTGAGGAAGGCTCTCTGTGGCCTCTCAGTATCAAAACAGTAGTAAGTGTGGAACATCTGTTTACCACACAGCTGGAGTAGCCGATGCCCGAGAGCTTTGGAGAGATGTACTTCCACACTCCGATGCTTCCCTGCCGGATGGCCTGACCGGCTGCCAGCTCCAGGAAGAACAGAGGGATCCCCACAATCAGCATCAGTAAGATGTACAGCAGGAGGAAAGCACCTGGGACGAGTAAATAAGGCTCCATTAGAAAAGACAATAACACACTGTTTTCCGTACACTGAGATTTTATAACAAATTCAACGATAAAAATGTTGAGGACCTGCTCAGCCATCAGGATAACAGCTGCATGCACTGCCCGCCTGTCATTCTGTCTCCTGTGAATGCAAAACAGTCAGGACTCACCGCCTCCATTCTGGTGGCACAAATACGGAAACCTCCAGACGTTGCCGAGTCCAACGCTGAATCCGACCTGAGCCAGAAAATACTCGATTTTACTGTTCCATCCCGCTCGAGAGGCCGGCTCAGAGGAGCCCTGCTCCGGGGCATAGCAATCGACCTCCGGCTCTGCGGCTTCAACCTTGTCATCATCATCGGTTGGCAGTGGCTGCTTCTCCATCTGAGACCTGAGGGACATCACAAAAGACAACTCTAAAAACAGAACTGAACTGAAGCTATTTCAGTGCAGAGCAGGCGTCCCCTAAAACAAGGCACGGTCAGAAATAGCTTTCATTTGACAACAGGTGACAATATTTTCACAGTTCCTCTCTAGTGTGCCACCTTTACAATCAAGAGCCATTTATTACATTAACCAAAACAAGCCTAGGGCTGCTTGAAACTGAGCATTGGGTGTTTATAAAAATGTAAAACATTAGTTGGCTAAAATATGAAATAAAGGAATCATAAAGAACTGGTGATATGTTGTCTTTAGGATTAAAACAAATGTATAAGTAGAACACTGCAATAACCTTTATTTCTGTATATTTTCGTGTTTATTTTATTTTTAAGTCTTAACTTATTAATCTTTAAAGCTAATGATATAATGCCTTAATAGTATACATAGTGCGTTATTTTAATGTAAATGTGCCTTACATACCTGGCCAGAAGGTAAACTAGTTGTTTACTTTGCTGCCCTAGTTTAGGATAATCCCAGATTAGAGGTCCCTAAATCCATTCACTCTTGTACTAATTCAAATAATTTAGAGGTAGTGAACGGTAATTAAATTACTTTTATGAAGTGAGGCCAGAGCTGCACACCAAACGACGTACACCCATAGCCTCCTCCCCCCTCTGGAGACCATCTTTATTCAACACGTAAAACATGAAATACTTTTAAAATAATGACTCACATTACGTCCAGGAAATATCTTTAGCAGAGAGGTAGAAGAAGCTGGTCTTGAAAAACGTAAAGATTATCTTTACCCTGCTTGTTGGGGGTACAAACGAGCACGTGCAGCTTTAATGTCGCGCTACGAAACAAGGCTCGCGCGACAAGTTTTGTTTTAAAAATACAGTTTAGATATTAAAACCATTATTAAAGTAAGGATATAGGTTATAAACCCAGGGAGACGAGGCAGCGCGTTTACCCGCGTGTTCCTGTGGTTTGTAGACACACGGAACCAGATCAGCGTGTGTTCCTCCTTCCGCGTGATGCAAGAGTTCCAGGAGGGATGCGCTCCTTGTTCTGTCGCCGGCGCAAAACTCAGCCAAGAGGTCATGGGTGTCGACCTGGTGTCGACGAGGGTTTTTCCGTGTGTTCATTTTAAATAAAAAGCATTTACAGCATTTGTTGAATCACAGATTTGATGATTATTTTAAAACTTCATTGCTAACGTGGCACAGAAACGGGTTCCCCGCAGGATCCGAGGAGCGCATTGACCGGTGCGGTGGATATGAACACCGCCCACTGGCCGCGCCTCCGCCTCAGCCACGCATACCCTTCTCCGATGATGTGGAGAGATGAGCGCTCCCTGAAAAAAATTAGATGCCAAAACAAACAAACAAACAAACAAAAAAACACTTATATTTGGCCTATTTGCGTTTGCGTTAGTTTTAAACCTCTTTTATTTGGGGCTCAATGTTGCCTCTTTTCTCTCCATATTTATAAATACAATTTTTATTTTCCCAGTTGGAACATCATGCGTTTCATACAAAACACAACAAAGTTTAGGCTTAACCTTCTCCTGTCATAAAGCCCATATATAAAAATAATTGGATAGTTCAAAAATGTAATAATTTGAGGAAATATTTTTCTACTGTTGAAACTGAAATCTAACTCAATTCAGCCTGTGACACGTTAAAATCTGTTTACCCTAGATTTAAAACTGTGCTTTTTAAATTTATTATAAAACACTAAAGTAACAGTCAGACACTTGATTATTAAGTATTTTAGTTACTCTGGCTTTCTGGTCAAAGACTAACCACGCGCGCGCGCACACACACACACACACACACACACACACACACACACACACACACACACACACACACACACACACACACACACACACACACACACACACACACACACACACTGCCACGTATGTCTGTTTAGAAGGTAAATAAAACACTGCAGTGAGTCATAAGTCACAAACTACTTCAAACACATAAAGCACTTCTCACAAACTCAGTAATAATGTTAAATACCTTGTGTTATCTTAGCTGGACCTTCTTGGATAAAGTTGTCCAAATGTCCAAACACAATGTCAAATGTAAAACTCTGAGATCCGGACTCCGCCCAAATCAACTCTCATTGGAGGATCAGGAGCAGCTGGCTGGAGAAGTCCATTTACACAACACGCGTGTCTGTGTGTGTGTCATGTGAATTAAATGTGTGTGTTCTCGTTTTTGACTCATTAAAAAACATTTTCTCTTTGTTGGAAATTCCTCCCTGCTCCCCTGGACACTTTATTCCTCCGCCTTTGGATGTATAGCTCTCTCTTCTGGAATTAACACGAACAGCACCTGAAGACTACAGAGTACATATATTTCGGGCTTTGTGTCATATTAATAAATTAATTTCTTACTATTTATGGATAGCTCTTTGAACGGCCTCAGTATGTAGAAACAGAGATTATTTCTGATTGACCAGACAAGCTAACAATTACTCATAAACAGAACAGATTCAAACCTCCCAAATTTAATAGCTTTTAAAGCAAATATTATTTTATGACTTTTATAGTGCCATAAATTTAACATTTCAAACAATTTTCCTTCATCCTGCCTGAGTTTTCCAACATGTCTCAAAGGTTTTATGCTTCAACACACCTGATTTTTATCAGCAGGTGATAAAAGCTGAAGAGCTGAGAAGGTAACTCAACCATTTAATCAGGTATGCTGGAGTACAAGACACAACCAAACAATGCTGGACAGGGGCGAGGACTAAGATTGGATACCCTGTCTCTAATTCAGCTGCAAATAAACCACATAATTCTATGTAAGGAGTTTAAAAATTAAGATATTGTCAGAAGTTTAATATTGTTGTCACTTGTTTCAGACAGTGAAACTTGTATATAAAAGTTTGTTTCTTGTAATGTTGATGATTGCCTATGCCTATCGCAACAGATATGAGTTGTGTTTTAAACAGGCTTCTGAAAAGAATGCTTATTCAATGCATCAAGTTTAGATTTGGCCTGTTTTTGCGTGAATTACTGCATCAATGCAGCATGGTGGCTATTAGCTTGTGTTAGGGTTAGCTTGCGCTGGGGCTCTGCTGAGGTGGCCCAGATTGCTCTGATAGCAGCCGTCAGGTCAACTTCATTGTTGGGTCTGATATCTTGAGAGTAACCCAGAAATTATCTTTGGGAGGTTCATGTCAGACAAGTTTATTGACCAAGTCATCCCAGTAACACCATGGCCCTAAAACCAGCTTCAGGTCAGTGATAAATACTGGATTTGTCTGAGAATGGGACCATCAAGGGGCCACATAGTAGTCAACATCCTTACACAATAGGTGTTTCTCAATGTCAAGGCACCTGGCCTTGTGAGGCGATGTCTTGCGAGGCCATGTGCCTTGCTTACGAGGACACGGTCCTTCCTTGGTCAAAGAAAACAGTTAAATGCAACAGACTTGCATCACGTGACCGCGGCTTCCACGGCGGTCACGTAACATCACGTGACACGGGAAATAATGTTATATTTTATACGTATTAGTTTTAATATAAATTTATAATGAGGCTTTTACTTTTTAAATTGTGTATACCGGTATGTTTATTGAATAAAAAATATAAGTGAGTTACTACCTGCTAGCCACCGAAGCTGCAACTACTAAGCAACTAATCAACTATGGATATGGATCTAAAAAAACATTTTAAATTAGTTGACTTACTTTTAAACTTGAAATTTGCCCCCGAAGTAGCTGCCAGCTTCTGATCCACCGTCCTTTTGAAAATACCGTGGTGTATTGTGGGTAATTTTTGACCAAGGCTAGACTACAAGACACCTCCCATGTATCTTTGCTCAGCTAGTTAAACGGCTAACAAACGGAGAACCCACGCCTCGGTAGAATATGAACAATATGTCTTGGCGGCTCCCGATGACGTATCTCCTAGGCAACCGGGGCGGGGCCAAGACATCAAGGCAAGGTTCCTTGGCATTGAGAAACACCCAATATTTTACACTGTAAGCTCATATTCAACTCATCAGCGACACTAGTGTTTGGACTTGAAATAGCACAAATCTATTACTAATCTATAATCTGATCATCATGCTAGGACAGATGAGTAACAGGACAGGGGCACTTAAGGAGACCAATCAGATTTCAGCAGGGCCTAGTGCCCCTGTGGCCCTGCCCCTAGAACCACCAATGCTTCATGTAGGATGGTTTTATTGGATAGATGTCTGTATTGCCCCTAGACTTCAGAAAGCCCAGTGGGCCGACACCAACAGAAGACATGGAACCCAAATCATGACACTTCCCCTGGACTTCCAACATTATGGATTCTCAGCCAATCCTATTTGTTCAGACTAGGGGATTTTGATTTCCAAATTACTTGCAGACTTCTAACAAAAGGACTCTGGACCACTGAGCAACAACCCAGCTGTTTTTCTCCCCAGCCCAGATGAGATGCTTCTGATGTCTCTGGTTCAGGAATGGACTGACACCAGGAATATGACATTTGTAGCCCATGTGTAGGATCGCTCTTTGTCTCTTGACTCCAGTCTCGGCTCCTGGTGAAGCTTCCTCAGATTCCCAAATGGATTTAGTTTCACAATCCTCAAGGTTCTGCTGCTGGTGTACCTTTTCCAGCCAACTTTCAATGAATATCCATGGATGCAGCGCTCTGTGAACAAGCAGCTTCTTTAGCCTTTTAGAGCTTTTTCTGGTTTCCCCTCTTTGTGAGTGAAATGTAAGTTTAACCCTCCCACTGTCCTAATGGGAGTGACCCCGCGAGGAAAGTTGACCATTGAGCAGGGTTGATGGTTTATCCCTTGGGTCCATGTGGCAGGGGTGAGGAGTGAGCACCACCTTACCCTTGCCACGTGGACCTCAAGGGATCAACCATCAATCCTGCTCAATGGTCAACTTTCCTCACAGGATCACCCATAAAGACAGCGGGAGGGTTAACTTTTTCACAATATTCCAAATTTCTGAGATGGCAGATCTACAGCAAAATGCCTGAATGCCTGAAACGGAAAAACCTGTCGCAACATTAAATTCCAAAGCAACTGAAATCCTGAAATGGCTCAGCCAAAGTTCCTCCATGGCCGGGAACATACTGTACCCGGCCACTGTACCTCAAAGACTTTGACCCATTCGACTCTGTCTGTGTTATTGGGATCAGTAAATGGTAATAACTGAAATTCAGATTATTAGAAAAAGTCTTCCAGTTATTGAGATCAGTTCAAGTTCATTTCTAAATCCCATTTAAACTACATGTGATCACATTTGACTAACTATGAAAACTGAGCCAGCATAAATGAACTTCAATTCTTGCAAAGATATATTTTTTTTACATTTAAAATGAAATAATTCTGACTTCTCCGACTCCCATCCGACTGACACGAGTGATTAATAGCAAAAATTTTTATCTGTGGGGTAGGGTTGTGTTTGGGCGGGACTGTGTGAGGTGAGGTGACACACCTTTGCTTTGTCATACCTCAGAAGTGGAGAAGGACGGATAGACCTGTAGTCACACGGAGATTCAGCACAACTTTTAGAATCAGATCACAGGTGAAGCAGCGGGAGCAAATATATCGGAGGTGAGTTGATCCAACACTGCTCACCATAGATGTTCCAGCATTTTAGACTATTTGACTCTAAAGTTAACATTAAACTAAACCAAAGTTTTATTTCCACCATCTAAAACCACATTCCGGCTTCCAACTTAACAGTTTCATAGAATTATTAATAAGAATAGTCGGAAAACCAAAACGCACCAAATTAACTTTATAATTTCTTCTTTATTCTATTTAATCAACAAAATTATTTATTATTTTTGGATAAATAAAAAGACAAATTAGTTTTTAAACCTTAGCAGCCATTTTCAATCAAACCAGAGTTATTCTTCCTGCATACATTAATTCTTATTGGAGTTTAAATCTAGTCTCTACTCTATTTTTGACTTAATAAACTAACATTATAGTCCAGCTAAAACCAGTATGAAGGAAGTATAAGTGATACTGAATGTTAGCTCTCTGTAATACCAGTGAGTCCTGTAATGGTCCCCACCAAGGAGCTGACTGAGCGATGAGATTGCGCTGTAGCCCGACTGGTTGGACAGCTTACTCCCTACAGGATGAACTTGTGTTGCTCAGATGCAAACAGCATGGAGAGATATGGTTCATTTGAAAAGCTGGAAAAGATTAGGTCTGCCGCAGGCATAAAACCACATCGGTACCAGATCACTAGATGGATCGGGTTCTGATCCTGCTTTCAGTTCAACCAGTTTAGATCTCTTTCTTCACAACAGAGCAGCTGACAGAGGTGGAAAAATGACAGGAATCACAAGGCACCTTGTTGACGTGAGTCCCTATCTAGATACTGTTTGGTGAAATGTTTTGAGTTTCTAATATTTACTTATTTCTCTGTTTTGCAGCATCTACTGACATTTTCACTCCAGAAAAACGATGTCCAGAGCGTAGAGGAGGCCCAGACCCGTCTCTCTTTCCTGGCTGAGAACAAGAAGCTGTGGAGTCAGAAGATGTTCCTGGATGTTGGCAGGGACTCCATTCTTCTCAGAGATATCAAAAGTCAGGTGGGAATGGGCATATAGTTTATTTGCAGCTCAACAGTAATTAAGAGGGAATGTTTGGCTCTGTCGGTGCACCCCAGGGCAGCTGTGGCTACATCGTAGCTCATCCCCACCAGGGTGTGAATGTGTGTGTGAATGGGTGAATGACTAGTTGTGTTGTAAAGTGCCTTGGAGGGTTGCAGGACTCTAGAGGGTGCTATATCAAATGCAGGCCACTTACTATTTGGCTCCGTTCATAGATTCAAATGTATCTCCTTTTTTTGTGGTGGAAGAATCATGTTTTGTCTTTTTCTGCCTGAAACCCTCCGTGCTTTCTTTTATCGGTCTTCTGAAGAGCTAAGGCTGCTGTAACAGATCAAAACGATCAGAATGCAAAACCAGTGCAGGTTCTGATCCGAGCTGTATTTGGTATTGGAAGCATGTAGATGAGCAGACTGGAACAGAAACCAGAAGTTACAATAATCACCTCTGCTGTAGGAAATGTTACCAAAGTAACTAAAGTAGAAGGACTCGGCTTAATTAATTGCTAATAAAAGAATTATGAAATGTCACCCCGCTGTAATTCTGCTTTAATCCTGGCAGGTGAGAAATGTTGGCTGTTGAAACAACACTGCCACTATTTGTAGCGGCAAAAGTAATAAAGAAAGCTGGAAAACCTGGTTTGAGGATCATCTGTGAGGTTTGGGAAAAATAGAAAAACGACTTGACTCAGATTTTATCACCAATGGATGGAACTAAAGAACAAACTTGGTCAAATGATTTGACCAGGGCTTGAAATGGAATGTTTAGAGCTTGGAATTGACATTTGCGAGTCTTAGGACTTGACTTGAGTTGAGACTAGAGTGAAAAGACTTGCTCGTGACTTAGTCCCAGCTCTGTGAATTGTTGTGGTGATAAACACTGATCCAGGGGCAGTGTCAGGATTTTATTTTCCAGCAGTTGCCTAGTGAGCGTCGGCCCTTCTATCCACTACACTTGAAAGCGTTGCAAAGCTTATCCTACTACGCAGCAGTTGGCCACCATTCTAGTGGATGACTTCCTTTCCAGTGGCAGCAAAGTGTCATGATTTGGATTCTGTCATTACGTTCGGAGTCTATTTTTTATGCATTGTGCTTCCAAAACACGTCAAACTCCACAGTTTAGATCACGCCAGACAGGAAGTAAAACACAACAGCAAAGTAAAACATTCAGAAACTTTCAAAATAAGTCACATGCAGGTAAACGTACGTCATTTCTTTTTTTAAAACCCTGTAGCCGATGTGAACAAAATAGAAAAGAAACCAGACCTTTTTGGTACATCCAGCTGTCTTTCTCCTTGTTATCGTGTGTGGACGTCTGAAATCAAGCGTGATGTTCAGTGATTTTGTGACATTACGAGATCAGCTGTGTGGAACGCTTTCACTCCCGTTTTGCTCAGAATTGCTCCCGGTCGGGAATGGGCTTGCGGGAAAAACGCCGCTATTACATTATGCAATCTCCTCAAACGAGCGGCGGAAAGAAGGGTGAGGGGTTGCTGTTACGTTGACGTGAACTGAAGAGTGGGCGAGGGATGTTCAAGAGTTGGGGTTGCTAAAGCGTTCCGAATCTGGCCGTTGCTTTAGCAACCCAAGGCTGCCGCCTGGCACCGCCCATGCACTGATCCCACTGCAGACATCATTTCTAGTGACGAAACTGATAAAATAAACAGAAAAAATGTTGTCATTTTGTCTCAGTTTGATACAAAAAGGCCCAGCAGAAGGCCTACTGAATGTAGAAGTTCTACCTGTCATAAGAATACGATGCAGACTCCACTGGAGACACATTGATGCAGAGTAACCATCTCCAGTGTGGACTTTGCAGATGATTCGGCGCTCAAAATGCTCAAACCTGTTTTTAGATTTTCTTTGTGTTGTGCTACACCCATAATGACCTTCAGCTTTTGCACAGGATGAGCTGGAGAAATATACCTTTGAAGCCATCTATCGCTGCCAAGCCATCTCCACAGAAAAACACTTCCCATCGCTGCTTCTTCTGGTCTGTCAGAGTTCAGACCAGAAGAAGCCCGACATTCACTTCTTTAGCTGTGAGACGGTAAAGGTGAGCATCCGAGCGCGTCCGGTTTCACACAGTGAGTCAGCTTGTTCCAGTTTTACAGTAGATGTTTTTTTTTTGTGTGTTGTTTTTTCCACAGGCAGAGAAAGTCTGTGATGACATTTCACGTGCTGTTTCCAGTTGCTCCACCAGAAGCAAGAAGACGACCAGCAACAGGTACTCTAAATGTCAGGGTCATGACTTTGCAGAAAATCCTAGAGAATACACGTGGCTTTTTAGAAAAAGGATTAAAATCACCGATCGGCACTATTTTTCATGGTTTCTACTCATTTTTGATGGGGGGAAAAAGTCCCAAAACACCAGAGGAAACCACAGCTCAAGGTAATCCTTGATAATTAGGTAATTTTTCCTAGAAAACAGGTTTGTTTCCTCCTTTTTCTGTCGTCACCATGTTTCGATTCTCTACTCAGTCAAAGCAGCCTTGTGTCACCAAGCCACCTGTTGAGACCAGGCAGGAACACAGGGAGGAGAGTGTAAACAGCTGAGAGAGAGGGACAAGGACTCGTTTTACCAGTTTCTGCATAACTTAAGAAGGTGTGACAGTGCGAGCAAGGCCATTGTGACAGAAATCTGCGAGAGCAGAAGATTGATGACAGCAGCGGTGCACAGATCCTCTGGATTTCCAGTTTTAAAATACTTTTGTTGTTTTTGGAAGGATACGTGAATGAAAGATTCCTCTGGTAAGACTGGCTGGTATTGGGGCTTAATCAGGAATCGTTTTAAACTCTCCTGAGGGTGTTTGATGAGTATCAGCCTATCAGCTGATGGGCTTTAAAAAGGATCAATCTAGATGCTGTTGTTTAAAGACGATGAGCCGATTCAGTTCAATTGGAACAATCCCGTGTTTAATTCCACTGTGTGAGAGAAATGAGGGCTGGGTTTGTGTTTCAGAGGAACCATTGTGTGAACCTGGGAGTGTAGAACTAGAACGACCAAACAAATCAAAGATCTACTCAAGCTGTGCATATTTAAAAATGGATCCATTTAATGTGTGTTTGATTCCTGGAGTCCTTGCTGAAGGGCGTTTCTGGTGGCAGGGCTGAGTGATCAGCAACGCCACCATCAACAAGAGGGTTGTTTTCACTAGTCTCCCTCAGCCCAAGAGCTGTGACCAGTGTGTAAAACACTCTCCTCTCTCAGACGGCCTCAGAGCGAAGAGGAGATGTACGAATTCTACGAGATACCAAATCATCCTTTCCTGCATGCTCCGAACCCTCCTCCAGTCAACCCTCCACCATATCCTGGACCCAGAGGTGAGAAACAAGAAATTCATTCAAGCCAATAGATTCTAAGCTCAATGGAGCACAGAGGGGTGTGTGTGTGTGTGTGGGGGGGGGGGACAGAAAATCCAAATCAAGGAGAGAGCAGAATGAAAATGGCTGAAGTGAAATCTCTGCCTCCTTTTAAAACAGCTAATGGACTGAACGGCGGGCCTGATATCTCCTTCCTGCGAGCAGAGAGAGAAGTGGTACGTCTTCTCTTTGCATTTGGGTCTTTTAGGTCAAGAATCATGTCTGGGATTTATTTCCAAAACATCTTTACTTTGCTTCAGGCGATCCTCAACCACTGCTTTGATGACATTGAGGGCTTCATGGCCAAGCTGCAGGAGACGGCAAATGCTACAATGACCCTAAACCAGAGGAAGAAGAAGAAGAAGAAAAGTAAAAAGCAAAGTGCTGAAGGTAAGAGGAGTTGTGAACTATGAAGGTGTCATGTTACTGCTGTCGTCATGTGTGATGACTGCAGTGTTTGTTGTGCTGAATCAGATGATTTACTTGCTGAGAAAGCTCGACCCCCACCAGAGGAGGAGTTTGTCGATATTTTCCAGAAATTCAAATACTGCTTCTGTCTTCTGGTGTGTAATCTACTCAAATCACATTTCACCTGGTGGCCAACTTAGTGGTTCATTTAACTATTATTATTGTTTTTTTTAGGCTCGTCTGAAATCAGCCATCACCAGTCCTTCATCAGAGGAGCTCGTCCACCATGTGTTCAAAGCTCTGGATATTGTAAGTGGGCATTAAAAACTTCCTCACCTGCTGCATCTATTGTTAAGATGACAAACCATTTTTCATGGTAGTGCTATGCAGAGAACAGGATGGATGTCTTAAAATAAATCCACAAGTCTTGTGATCATGGACTGGCTGAAGCCCAGGCAACAGGCTCTTAAAAAGGACCACATGTCCCAGTTAAGAGTTGGAAAAAAGCACACAACTACATCAGAAAGACAAAATTATTTGACGGGGGCTCTAAAAGGACTGAAAAAATGTTCCAAAAGATGCATCAACTGTTTGTTTCATAGTCCTTGATGCCATATTGTTTACCATTTTCAATGGGGATCAACCAGCAAATCAATGTAGGAAGCCTAAGCCTCCTGCCTCTCCGGTTGGATCATGGGTCCCCAGAAGAATGATAAAATGAATGCAATTAAGAGAGAATGAAAACAATCTTGTAAGGAATAAGGAGATGATCAGTCTTTATTTGTACAGCGCCTTCCACTGCCTTTACATGAGCCCAAGGTGCTGAACATAAAATACAGTTAAAAACACAGATGGCAATAAAAAGGAGGTAAAAACAACATACAGCCATAAAAGCACCAAACAAAATGTAAACTAGGACCATAAAAATATACAACCAGGTCACAAAAGCCAAACGATAAAAATAAGTCTTCAAACAACTCCTAAAAACCTGCAGCGACGGTGGCCATTTAATATCAAGTGGAAGCTCATTCCAGAGAGAAGCCCGTCACCTCTAGACCTGTACCTAGTCTGTGGGACAGTCCGTAGCTCCAGGTCCGCCGAACGTAGAGTGCGTGATGGGGTATGCCTTTTTATTAAATTATGGTGGGGCGCCACCATAAAGGGACTGGTAGACGTAGCACATAACTTTATGAAGGTCACACCAAAGCCAGCCTGATCAGGTGAGTTTTCAGCAGCTTCTTAAAGGAGACCACTGAGTCCACAGATCTCAGGCTCAGGGGGGGAGAGTTCCAGAGCCTGGGGGCCACAGCAGCAAATGATCTGTGACCTTTGGTCTTAAGCCTGGTGCGCTGCACATCCAGCAGACTTTGGTCACAAGTCATCGAGGCTAAGGAGCTATTTTCTAATCTGCTTTGCCTTACGCCCTGGATCACACACACATTATACGTCCATTTAAATGAAAAGTAATGATGTGCGTTTCGACCATGCCGGCATAGATGTAGTTTGGGGTGGGACATGTCCCCCCCCCCCCCCACACACACTTTTTCCAAAGTCATTTTTGTTCCCTGCACTTTTTACCATTCAAGAAAAGCAATTACGCTGATTTAAATAGACACAGGTTGAGCACTAGGACCAAGCAGAAAACAACCACTTGTATCCCCCCCCCGTCCCCCCCCCCCCCCCCCATCCTCTTGCTGGTTGTGCACCCCCCACCCTCACCCCCACTTCTAAGTCAAAACTACGTCCATGCACGCCAGTTACATACTTGGCTTGTAAAAGTTCTTAATTGCCGTAATTTCCTGACTATGGAGCACACCTCAATATAAGCCGCACCTACTAAGTTTAAAAAAAAATGGAACTGTACTTATATAAGCCGCACCGGGCTAAAAGCCACAGATATCTACTGAGTTGAAAACGTAGTTTAACTGAACGTAACTGAACTGATCAGTATCAAACAAAACAGAAAAGTTATTGATTAGTTTATTCTTCATCCTCCTGCGCTCTGAAACCACTGAAGTCATCTTCTTCAGTGTCGGAGTTGAAGAGCTTCGTCACATACCTTTTTTGTGGCGATGTCAGTGTCGCTGTCCGTGTTGCTGTCATCATCCCGGGTGAAGCTGGCTTGAATGAGTTCTTCCCCCTGTCGTCTCCAGTGCCGAACCATGGATTCATTCATGCCAAGCTTACGTGTAGCAGCACTGTTTCCCTCCTTTACTGCCAGATCGATGGCCTTCAACTTAAATGTGGCAACATATGAACTCATACGTGTAGTTACCATGATGAGGGGGTATGGATTTGAAAAAAAATCTTCGTCGTGCCGGCTGCTTGCATGTGCTAAATTAAAATGAGCACTTCCTTCGATTTCCACTTTTGACTTCCACCTGTTTCACTTTCTGCTAAAGCGCCCCTGGCAGGTGAAGGAAAATCTTCAGTAAAGCTGCATGGTTCAAAGCGTGGGGAAAAAAGTAGCGGCTTATAGTCCGGAAAATACGGTAGCATGACTACAAATCGTACATCACCACAGAATCTCCTCTCCGCTAGCATAGCTGCTACTTACCACCATGGTCAGATTTATGGTGTTTCTTTCCTCCTGAAGGAAGGATTTGAAGTTTGCTGAACTTTCATCCATTGTTCTTCTGCTTTTCCTTGTGTCTGCTTCGATGACGCCAATTTGGTGATGCACATTTGTAGTCCTGGACGTGTTTTCGCACAAAACCTAAAATGTAAATTTTCCCCCATTGAAAAAGAAGCATTTTCTTGGCATCAAAATGTCTTTAAAATTCAAGGACATCATATGTGAAATCCATGACACACAACAGGATTAGAAAAAAACATTTTTAGCCCCATTAACTTATATTCATTTTTCATTCTTCTAGAGACCCATGGAAGTAGATGGGCGTGACTTAGACTTCCTCTATTAATGTTGGTCAGAGGATTTGATCTATCTCTTAGAAACAATTAGACATGCAGGTAAACTAAAGTGTAAACATGTGTCATGTCAAAATAATGAACAGGTCCCAGTGGCATTCAGCTGTGTTACTGGAAACCATGCGTGCCTTCAATGTTGACACAGAGCTCGTCCAAGATGGAGGCTAAAGTCTCCAGGACCTGTCTGATCTGCTCTGATGAGATGCAGGAATGAACTTTCTGTTGGGACTTTTTACAACATTTGGTTTAGATCCGAGCTCCACTCAGCTGCCCTTTGCTGCTTTGAATTATAAAATAAAAAGAAACTAAAATAAGGGTTGCTTTTGCTTTTTATTAATAAACTTTACAGTAATAATCTGATTTTACTTTAATTCTGCAGAAACTCTTAACTTCTGTAAAAGTTGATTTAAAAGCATCATGTGAGGATTTGAGGTGTTTGACGCAAATCAAACCTGAGGAAAATAATCAAACCAGTTTGTTTGATTTGTGTTTGTTGACACAACTGAGTGAAACCATGCAGCTGCACCTCCCAGGGCCTCTTTATGCATCTCAGTTTGCTGCTTTTGTGATCAGATCATCTATCATTTTATCCCTGCCTTTGCTCTGACAGATTAATGGGTCATAATGTTTAGTATCTTTAATGGCTCTGATGTTCTGTGTGTGTGTGTGATCTCTGCATCTCACAGATGGTGAAAACCACAAGCGGACCAGCTCTCGCGGCCTCGGTGTCCAGCCCTGCAATGACCAACTCTGCTGTCTCACTGTTACAAGACACCCTGAACGAGGAGGAGCGGGAACTGTGGACGTTCCTGGGCTCCAACTGGACGCTCCCTCTGTCAGTATCAGCAAACACAACACAACACAAACGGTCGTACTCCGCAGGACAAAGAGACCACTTCGGCTTTCCTTTTCTTGATTTCTTGTTTTTTAAGGTAGCTTTTGTTTTATCTGAAGAAAATATTATAAATAACCCCTGGTGAGGTTTTTCCGGGCACATCCAACCTGAAGGAGGCCAAAAGGAAGACCCAGGACACGTTGGAGGGGCTGTTTCTCACCTAGCCAGGGAATGCGTCGGTATTCCCCCGGAGGAGGCTGGGGAGAGGGAAGTCTGGGCCTCTCGACTTAGGCTGCTGCCCCCACGATTCGACTCCGGATAAGCGGAAGAAGATGGATAGAGCTGACTGTTTCTATTTAAGACATAAACTCTTATGTGATTTATTTTCTCTACTATAATATTTTAAGGGAAAATAATACATGTTAAAGGTGTGAAACACTGAAAACATTTAATGGATGTAGGCTGAACATGAAAATCGTCTCCACACCTATCTCCTGCATTATCTTCTGATGCAAAATAGTGAAACTCTAGGACTTAAATCCTGACAGATCTACTCACACTGTCACTGAACATTAATGGACTCACCCATCTTGACTGTCGGCAGGGAAGACTGTTGCTGGTTTAGCATCCAGGAAACAGCAAGAGAACGTCTCGGCTAGTAGAAGCTAACCGTTAGCAATAGCAACTCCACCACATAGCAGAACTCCTTCAAGCTTGTGTTTTTCTGGTGGAGATAACTCATTCACTGCCAGCTGTTTCCTGATCGCTAAAGCCCTTCGCTGCCAGTGCTTATCACCGGTTTTCCTTTTTTTAAGAGCCACAGAACGTTGCGCGCCAGGATGATGTTGACGCCAAAACTACCAAAACAAAAAGGAGATTCACCTCTTACATCAGGAAGAATCCGAGTGTTTCTAGCGTTATCCATTCTTTCATAAGCTGTTGTCGAATTGTGATCGACAGAAGCTTTTCCGGTTCGCGCCTCACTTTTTTTTAAGGGAACGGCCAAAAACGGTCTAACACATGGATGTTCTGCTTCCTGATCATGTGACGTATGGAGATGAACACACAGTAAAAAACTGTAAAAAAAATGCAAATGATGACTTTAGTTGTCATTGGCAGTGAATGAGTTTAAACATCAACGTGGCAGAGCAAATGGAGTCAGTAATAGAGTTGCGTTGCTATTAGCCAATCAGAGACGAGGTATCCAAATATCCAAAACCTGTCGCCTGAGGCTCAGCTGTGATGTGGCTCACTTCTAGTTCCTGGAAATGGTGCACCAATGTAAAACTTTTACCTTCTCCACCTTTTTGTTAATTATCGCTAGTATTTTATTTGCAGTTTAAAAACTTGAAAAGAGAAAAATCTGAACATCAGTGTTCAAACACTGAACTTTAGCTGCACTATCCTGTGTAGAGTTCCTGTCTGATGAGGACACAGGAAGTGACTTTGATCTCTCTCAGCTCTCAGCTCAGGAGGCCCGTGGCTCCATACACACCTGTGTTCTTCAACAACTGGAAGCCGGAAGCCTCCAGGCCAGATGGACAGGTTTGGGAGGATCCTGTCGAGTCACAGCACAAGCATGAAGCCCTCCGTGTGAAACAAGAGGTATGGAATACCTGTATAAGATCACAACTTGTTCCACCTGTGCTTCAGAACACGAACGATGTGACAGAGTGCAAGAACAAGGTGGTGGAATGCTGGCCAACTATGGACTTTAAGATCTTTGGTGAAATTTGATGGGTTGAATCTTTTACTCAGTCACCAGCAAATTTTCATGCAGATCTTCTCTTTTCTGGTGTTTTTCCACAGACTCATCAACCACTTCCAGATATCAACCATGAATCGTAGGTTATCTTCAGCAGCATCACCACTCAGTAGGTCTTCTTCTTTCCTGATTTCATAACAAACCGTATCTCCTTTGTGTGTATTTAGAGGTGTGCCCACTCCTGATACTGACAGACTTTACAGCTGCAGCTACGACTTCATAGCCAGGAACAGCAGTGAGCTGTCAGTGCAGCACGGAGAGACTCTGGAGGTATGAAGTGGTGTGTGTTTGTTGTGAAGCTAGTCTCATCTGTTTAAAAAAGAAAATATCTTAAATTATTTCTGCAAATCCTGTATGAGAAGCGTAAGAGCGACTCCTCCATCCAACAGGTGATTGAGTCATCCAAGCGCTGGTGGAAGTGTCGGAATCGCTACAACCAGGTTGGATTTGTGCCCTTCAACATCCTGGAGCCTGTGGCTCACGCAGAGAGTCCTGTCTCCAGCAAACCTCCCAGTGTAAGCCAATAAAACACACCGCAGGTGTGCATGCCAGAGTGAGGTTATCTTTTATCTGTGTTCCTCATTCTTGCAGGTTCCAGCTGCACCCCCCCTTCCTAAGACGCTGTCTGTAGTCCCACCGAGCCCCCCTACTCTGCACAACACCCTCTCCCACTCCCCACAGCGCCCTCGCAGCTTACCACCATACGCCCAGCTCGCACCGGCTGTAGATGAAACCGATAAAGGTGAGATTTTAGATTTGTTCACAGGTTTTTAAGTGAGTGGAGTGAAGCAGCCTTAAATGAAACCTCTGTATCTTCTGTGTTCAGTCATGATGGTGAACGATGAGCTGCTCCAGAGGCTGACCAATGGGAAGGCCAGTATGAGCAAGCCCCTTATCATCCAGCGGGCCTCGGAGACCTCCGTCCCTCTGGATTTCCACTCCCCTCCAGAGGAGGTGGCTGGGTGGCTAAAAGGGAAAGGCTTCAGCGAACCGTGAGTTGCCTGGTTTATTCACTACATCAATTTTTATGTAAATTGCTTGACTGTTTTTTTTTTCTGCCTCGACTTCCCACATTAGGACGGTGACGTGTTTGGGTGTCCTGACTGGTGCACAACTCTTCTCCCTCAATAAGGAGGAGCTCCGAGCGGTGGTTCCAGAAGAGGGCACCAGGGTGTACAGTCAGCTCACCGTGCAGAAATCATTGCTGGAGGTAACTTATTATATTTTTTTAATAAATATATGGAAGTAAATGGGTCTTGCCAGATTTTGAACCGTTGTAAACATGGATTATAACTCGAAGACAAAGTATAATTAATGTAATTGTTATGCTCTTCAACTCAGTTCTTTGTGAAGTGTTGGTAGCAGTTCCCAGAGTGAAATCATTTAAAGCTTTTGTTTTTTAGTGTTAGAAATTCAGTCGAGATGTGAAGCTTTAAGTTAAGTACTCGCTTCATAATCACAAGGTTGCAGGGTCCAGCCCCGCTCAGTCTGTCGCTGTCATTGTGTCCTTGGGCAAGTTCACCAACTCACCAGAGTTCACCAGTGTTGTCTTGGCAACCGTTTATATTCCACCTTCAGCCATTGCTGAAAATGCATGTGATGCCATCAGTTCTGTTGTCACTAAGCTACAAACCCAGCACCCCAATGCTTTGTGGCTATATCTGGTGATTTTAATCATGCCTCGCTCTCTGCTACACTTCCAACATTTCAACAGTTTGTCAGCTGCTCCACCAGAGAAAACAAGACATTGGATTTGTGTTATGCAAATGTAAAGAATGCATACATGTCCAAAACAAGACCTCCTCTGGGACAATCAGATCACAATCTTGTTTTTCTCTGCTCAGAATACAAACCACTTGTTCAGAGGCAACCTGTGACAAGAAGAACTGTGAGAAAATGGTCACAGGACGCTGAAGAAGCCCTGCAGGGTTGTTTTGAGACCACAGATTGGATGACTCGCTGCCAAGGATATGAAGAGGACATCAATGCCATGACTGGATGTGTCACTGACTATATAAACTTCTGTGTGGACAACATCATACCCACCAGAACAGTGAGATGCTTCGCTAATAACAAACCCTGGATCACCAGTGAACTGAAGAATCTGCTAAATGAGAAAAAGAGCCTTCAAGGAGGGAGACAGGGAATTATGAGTATACAGAAGCAACTGGAGATCAAGATCAGAGACAGCAAGTAGGCATACAGGAAGAAGCTGGAGAACAAACTACAGAGGGACAATATCAGATGTCTGGTCAGGGATGAAGAAGATCACAGGCTTCAAGCAGAGGAAGGATTGCACAGATGGCAGCCTGGACACAGCCAATGAACTGAACAAATTCTTCAGTAGGTTCAGTTCCAGAACAAACCCAGCATCATCCTCGCCTGTCCCCAGCCAATCACACACACCATCCTCCTCTGATCCAACATTTTCCTGTCACACGCCAGCTCTTTTGTGCTCTAACATGGTCATGGACTCTTCTGGTTCTATAAATCTGTCTTCAACCAAGTCAGGAGATGCCCCCCCCAGAAGTCAGGTGAAGAGGCAGCTGGAGAGACTGAACAGGAACAAGGCTGCAGGTCCAGATGGTGTCAGCCCCAGAGTACTGAAGGCCTGTGCAGAGCAGCTCTGTGGGATTCTGCAGCACCTCTTCAACCTCAGCCTGGCCCAGGAGAAGGTTCCAGTCCTGTGGAAGACATCCTGCCTTGTTCCAGTTCCAAAGAAAACTCGCCCATCAGTCAATGACTACAGACCGGTTGCCCTGACATCCCACATCATGAAGGTCCTGGAGAGACTCCTGTTGGTCCACCTGAATAAGCAAACTAGGACATAGCAGGACCTGCTGCAGTTTGCTTATCGCCATGGAGTTGGAATTGAAGATACCATCATCCAGTTGCTTCAACCAACCCACTGTCATCTGGTCAAAGCAGGCAGCACTGTGAGGGTCATGTTCTTTGATTTCTCCAGTGCATTTAACACAATTCAGCCTGATGTACTTTGCCAGAAACTCCAGAAGACACTGGTGGGGGCCTCAACTATCGCCTGGATTAAAGACTACCTGACAAACAGACCACAGTTTGTGAGGCTGAAGAACTGCACATCAAACCAGGCGATCAGTAACATTGGAGCACCACAGGGGACTGTACTCTCACCATTCCTTATTACCCTATACACCTCAGACTTCCAGTACAAATCAGAGACCTGTCATCTACAGAAATACTCAGATGACTCTGCAGTTGTCGGGTGTATCAGAGATGGACAGGAAGCTGAGTACAGAGAGTTGGTGGAGCGCTTTGTGGCATGGTGTGGAAACAATCATCTGACCTTGAACGTGAACAAAACAAAGATGATTTTAGACTTCAGAAGAAACAGGGTGGAGTCAAACACTGTTTCCATCATGGGAGAAGAAGTGGAGGTGGTTGAGGAATACAAATACCTTGGAGTTCACCTGGACAACTAGGGATGACTGTGGAACCACTGAAGGAGATAATGCAAAGAAGGATTCTCCAGAGAATCAAGAAAATTATGGACAACCCTGAGCATTCTCTTCGCAAGATTGTCTGACAACGGAAGAGTGGCTTCAGTCAGGCTTCTTCAGTTTCGCTGCAACACTGACCGCTACTGGAGATCCTTCCTGCCAACAGCCATTGTAATATACAATAACTCTTTGCTGTAGTAGCTCAGAATAATAATAAGTCATCAATTTCCCTCTGGGATTAATAAAGTATTTTTGAATTGAATTGAAAAACACTTAATGCCCCTTGCCTGCTGGTGGTGTTCAGAGGGGCTGGTGGCGCCTGTGTACGGCACTCGCTTCTGTGTGTCCCAGGGCAGCTGAAGCTACAATGTAGCTCACCACCAGGATGTGAATGGGTGAATAACTTACTGTGTTGTAAAGCACCTTGGGGGGGTTCCAGGACTGTAGAAGCCGCAATATCAAACACAGGCCATTTAATTTAAAAATTCTAACAAGACACCAATTTTCCTTGTTTAGAGCTTCAAATTAGTCTCTAGAAAAGCAGCTGCAGTGATTGACACGGGGCTGAATAATATTGGACTGGCATCCAGCCAATCCAATCCTATGGTTTTGGTCATGTGACTCCATGCGTCCAAGTTCAATTGATCCACAAAAACCTGGAACACCAAACCAGAGTTTGAATTTTCACCATGAACAAAAACTTTCAAAACTCTCCGTATAATAATTATAACAAGTCTTTAACATGAAACTAAACTAAATCTAAAATGTAAGATAAAAGGAATTTGAACTGTCACCATGTGAAGAACAGGATGTTTAATTGTTTTGTCTGCAGATACCTGAACAGCATTCACTAGCGCACTGTTGAATTTACATTGAGCATCAATAATCCAGTGTTTTTTTAAATAAATGCAGGTCTTTGATTAATCCTTTCATGTATGAATTATGAAAACTGTTTCATTCATAACCAAACTGGTATATTTATTTACTTTTAATTTTCAAATAAATTATGGCCTCTGTGTTGTGAACATAAAATATGCTGGTTTGTGGAGGCTCAAATGCAACAGCAGCTTTGCTTCATTAAAAAAAACCTTGAGTAGCTGTCCACTGTAAGCAATAAAAGGTCTGTTTACAACTTTTTAGCTCATAATCATGAGATCTAGACTCGTGTAAACTCCTGAACTTTTGCACACACTAAAAAAAGCTAATCTGCTCGGCTTCAATAAAAGACCAAATTTAGAAAGAGGCAAACTACACCATCTGTGAAAATCTATAAAACTTTGAGTTTAGCATTTAATTGAAGTCTATTTTTCATCATTTGAACCCGTTTCCTACAGGATGCCAGGCGAGCCACAGAGCTGGAAGCTGTCATGGAGAAACAGAAACTGAAGGTTGACCTGAAGCTGGAGAGCAGCACTTTGTGAGCTGCTACACACCTGAGAGGAAGGTGGTGTTTCATCTGGAACAAGCTGCCACTGAAGAGACTAAAGAAAAACTATGAATCTGCTTATTTTAAGGGTAACATGTTGTGATTTTTAAGATGTTATCACTTCAAGTTAAAGGGAAATTAAATCAAGTTTGTAATGCAAGAAGGCCATGTGTATAATATTTAAAATGCCATATGTTCATAAATGTAAGTGTGCTGCCCTGGTGGAAAAAAAAACTGCAGACAGTAAATGTGATTTTTCTTTTAATGTAAATTTAAAGAATCCAGGAGAAAAACAAGGCTCGACACATCAGGGGAAGCAGTGCATTCAGAAAAATCTCTAACCAGATTCTCGTCCTAGCCGTGATGGGACCGGTTTGCCTGGTTTGACTTCAGTTGAACGGTTCTGCAGCTGTGGGACCAGTTAACTCATGACTGCTAAACCTGCTTCACATCACTAATTCTGAAGACACCATTAAAGTTCATTATGATAAATAAAATTGTAGATTAACTCAAGATCCAAACTAGCTTTAACAAGGAACTTGCCACCAATACAATTCAAAACAGAGCCTTTACTGAAAGTGGCCAAACACAACTTTAACTTTCTAAAGCAAAGAAATAAAAATAAAAACCAGATTTGTTAAAACATGGATGGGGAAGTCATCAGTACAGCAACTTTAAAATGCTCTGGTGGTTTGAATTTGAGGCCGTTAGTGGGCCTCAGATCTAATTACAATCGACTTTTATGTGGACAGACGTTTCCATGACAACATGAAGACGTTTCCATGACAACATGAAGCTGCAGAGGGAGAGAGAACTACTTGAAGGCCTTTTAAACTGCGTGAGCTAAATATATTTACAGATTTTTAAACCCATCAGTTGATGAACTAGAAAAGTTATTTTTGTTTCAGACCAGACTGTTTGTGTCAGAGTCTTTAAGGTTGTTAACAGAGATGGTTTATATTACAGCTCAGGCATAGAGGGGATCTGCCTTAACAAAGAGAAGAGGAAAAGGCAACGACTACATGTAACATCAAGTTATTAAAAATGGGACAGGTAAAAGACAGGAGGGGGTTTGGGGGGTGCTGTGAATCATCGTTGATGCGGTTTTAGGCTTCAGAAGTCGCCAGCTTCCCTGCCGTTCATCCCAACTCTCCTGTCTCGGTCTCGTGACTTGTCTCGAGATGAGCGTTCTCGGTCCCTGGACGACCTGTCAGAGGAAGACTGATTCAAACTCAAGCACCTAATGCATCTGCTGGTCTTGGCAGGACTTAATCTAGTGGCAACCTGCCAGAGTTTTAGCTTAAAAGAGAGGATAGGCAGTTTTGGCTTGCTTTTAGCACCCCTAGTGTCAGTTTAGTAGAACCAAAAGCAAAACCCATCTCTTCGCTGTGTGTTCGTCGCTTTAACACTTTAATCTAACAGCTGAAACATCTCCCCGGCCTTCCTTAGTGTCTACGAAAGTGGTCCATCACTAAATTAAACAAGTCAGCTGTGTTCATGAGCTAAAGCATGCAGGAAACATGCTGCAGCACCACTTTCTCAGACCAACTAACCGGACTGGCACTCTGAAGTTGCAAATGTGGTATTCGGCCACAGGGGACGGTGGGGGTCTGAGTAGCATTTTATTACCCCTGTAAATTCAGACCACAGCTTTTACACAGCTGACTGTCATATTAGGCAGCGGGAGCTCAGGAGGTAGAGCGGGTTGACCAGGTGACTGGAGGATTGTGGGACCAGTCCCAGCGCCTGCCAGGAGTATTCTGCTGTTGTGTTCTTGGGCAAGGCAATTCACTTGTGTAAATGTAACGTGGGTACTTACTTGTGTCTTGAGCTCGGCTCGTGGCTGTGACGATGTCCTCTGCTGCGTGAGCGGGATCGGCTGCGGTGCCGCCTCCTTCGCTCCCTGGAGCGCGAGCGAGAACGCCGTCGGTCTCGTGATGTTGAGTGCGAGCGCCTCCGCCTGCGGTCACGGGAACGCGATCTGCATGAAACAAAGAGTGATTTAAAGTGGATTCGTACCTTAACTTGATCATTAGCACACCCTAGAAGTAAAACAGACTGGAGAAAGAAAGGAGTCCTTTACCTTCTGTGCTCTCTGCTCCTTGACCTGGTCCTACAAAATAACATGAAACATGAGATGAAATGCACACGACACAATAACTAACACCAGAAAAACATCAAAAGTTTTAGCTCACCTTCTTTTCATCCTTTCTTCTTTCTCCCTCTCTTCCCTTCTCTTTAAGCGGTCCTGGTTCCTCTTCTCTTGCTTCTCAACCACAGTTTTCTGATCAACAATAAACGTTTTAAAAGAGGCAAAAATAAGTTCCTATAACCATTTAGGTTTAGTAAGATATTTTTAATAATCCTCTCGTCAAGTTCTAATATCTTCTGAGTCCATTTAGGTGGAAGTTGTTGGTTTTAAGACTACCTGTTGCAGTTGGCACATACCTTTAGCTGGTCCAGTTTCTCTCTGATCTGAATGAATCCCAAGTGAAGCTTCCCACCAAAATGATCAGCTAAACGACGATCATTGTCATGAAGACCCAAGTACGCAGAGCAAACTTCACACACCCGAAGTTTCTGTTGCTGAAAGCTGGAGGCTGGCATAGAGTTTCTATATTCTTCCTGAAGAAAAAATAATAATTTATGGATCAGATGATTGATTTTACCAGCTAAAAAGGATCACCTCCAATTGCACAAGGCTGAAGAACAACTTAACTCACCTCTGCGTCCTTTTTCCTGCTACGCACTTTCTCCACCTCCTGCAACACTTTCTGAGCTTCGTCCACGTTTCCTTCAGCTCCAAGCTGCTCAGCCTTGGCCAGAAGTTTCCCGATCTCCTCGTTCAGCTCATGCACCTTCTCTGCCTAAAGTTCAGACAGGACAGGTCAGGTCAGATAGCACACAAGATGACAAAAACACACCAATAAAGGCTTCAGTTTCACACGATCAGGAAGTTTTGTTTTGTTTACCTTTGCAGCCACTTCAGCACTGATCTCTTCTTGGGTCTCAGCCAGACGCTTCTTGGCTAGTTCAGTCCTTCGATCACAGTCGGCAATGAACGACTCCAGGTGATCCACCGCCTTCAGGAGGGGAAAATTAGGGACAGCCAGTAAATTAAAACTCAATTTGCTGGGCAATAAATAGAATATTTATCGTTATAGAAATTTCTGACTCGTTGAGAATTTTTCCCACGTCAATAAATTTGATAGTAAAAAATAAAAAGATGTGTGTAGGTTGGTAACATTCATGTCCCTTTAAGAAGCTGTACCACCGTGAGTCATGTAAAAATGTGACTCAACATAATACATGTGACAACCCCATCTAGTGGACAACTTGTTTCTGCGCATACCCGTAGTTATCGTCTATTTATCGTTATCGAGGCGAAATCTTCAATATATCATGGTATTGATTTAATGCCATATCGGCCAGCCCTATTATGTAGATACATAAAACTTGATATTTAAACTCAAACTCCAATTTGAACATCATGCTGAGTGTTTTGGTGAATCCTACTGTTTCCTCACCTGATGTCAGTGTTAAGCGTGCGTAATAAAATGGTAAAAAAACAAGTTCCCACTGATCTCTGATGCATTTACAGAGTTTCATCACTTACATCAAGTTCAAAGAAAAGATCCCTCTCCTTTGAGGCAATCTCATAGTCCGCCCGAAGTGCCAGGTCGTGGATCTTTGTGCAGTCCCCCAGGTCCATACGCTATCAGACACGAGATTCAAACCAAACAAACACACTGATGATTGTGGACATGAAATCTTCTATAAATCAAGTTTGTTTAGTAAGATTTCGAAGTTAAGTCTGTAACCAACAGCTGGCGTGCGGCTCACTTACGGTTCCAGACAGGATATCGTGTGGACAGCAGTTGAGGAGGTGACTTTTACAGACTCGATCATCTGTGAACTTGACCCTCTGACGCGTCTCATCTCCTGCAAAAGTCCAAGAAAACAACAGTGAGAAAAACATCTCGTTTGACAAGAAGGTCGACGTATCAGAGCTTTAACACAAACTATTGTAACTGTAACTCATTTGGCAAATGTGTCTTCCTAACAGGACTTAAAGACAAGTGTGCTTCTTACTGATAACTGACTCATCTGTTCTTGTTACAGTTCTTTATTTTTAGGTTTCTCAGCTGTTTAAATGTCTATGCTCATGTGAAACGTTCGGGACGGTACTTGTGCTTATTCCTGGTGCTTACCTTACCCAAGCCTCAAACACCGAGAGCCTAGGATTAGACTAACCCGTACTGAGGATCAATGTCCACTTTCAAGGTAAAATACCAAAAACATGAGAGCTAACCGGTCAACCTCTTGTCTGGGTTGACTTCCACTACTCTGACACCGACTATGCATGAATGATGGTTTTTACAACTATTAATAGAAATGTGTGACTAGTGCATAAACGTTCCAACCAAGCCCTTTATAAATAAACAACCAAGTCCTTTATAAATAAACACAGAACAGACATTTTAAGCAAATGCAAAAGAAATCCAAGGGAAGAAAATGTGTTTATACACACTGCGATCCGCACCACATACTGTACCCTTTTGCATCTTCAAGACCTCAGCTGCAGAATTTTAAACCCGCTGTAGAAAAGTATAAATGGGAACAGTTTTCTTGCCCATACCTGTAGTAAGAAGTTGGGAGTCATACACAGGTCAAATTGTAAATGTTTTCAAAGGTTTTGTTCTTTTGTTTTTCCTTCTTCTGTGTGGCCTGCTAAACAGACGTGTAATGCGTGTAGTAAATGAAGAACTGCTAGTGTGGACAAAGCGCGACTGGGCGTCTTAGCACAAGATGTGTAACACTACCCAAGTGATGATTCTAGTGCCAATGGAGAGATTTATCAACTTGTGTATTTGTAAGATTCAAAATCTACAATAGCTTCCGGAAGGCAAACAAATTGTTTGGATATTAATCATAACAGCTTTAAAAATTATGTGTGACTCACGGCTCGATGAACATGAGGCTTTTCTGCAACTCCTTTGCAGATTGATGTAGGCTGGCAATGATACACTGAACCTTAATGAATAAAATAAAGGGGCCACAATTGTTCAGTTTGTATGGGAAGAATTTGATATATCATCACACAGACACACACACTCCCACCCACATACAACACAAATTCACTCTTGCTTAGCAGAGTGGCTTATCAGTTTAAGAGTCAACAGGGCTGCTTTTTATTCAAGCTGCTGTCACAATCAAAGATTTACTTATAAAATGGTAGGGCAGCAATTTTCTACTCAAAACAATCAGACCTGACAGCTACGAGTCATTTAATGTTACCATCTATGTGGCTAGAAACAAGTGTGTACTTCCTATTTTGTAGATCACTACAATAGTATGACCAAAAATGACGATTCAGCTAAAACGGGGGTTTTCCTCTCCACTGTTGCGGCATGCTTGCTTAGTCTGGGGATTAATGAAAAGTCACCGACACAAGTCAGTGACTCAGTGCAATCTGCTGGCTTCCCTTAAAAGAGCAATAAAACAATAGCAATATATATTTTGAAACAACTTTTCCATGATAGACATGAGAACGGGTCGATAGAACTTTGATATAAGAGCAGATAAACAGCCGATGCTAATAGAGCCACACGGCTAATGCTGGTGTAGCTTTAGACCCCCTGCTGCAGACGTCGGGTCACACAGCTGGTAAAAATAGAAAATGAGTGTAACAAATGCAGAAAAGAGATGGAGAATAGGGCTGAACGGTTTTAGGAAAAGAATGAATTGCAATTTTTCTAGCAGAAATTGCGATTTTGGTTCAATTCACGATTTTATGCAAACAAAAAGGTCCAACACTGGCCTGCCAGGCCATCCTGTAGATTAAGTGAAAATATGGTCTAGATTCTAATCTAGTACAACACATCATTCACATTAATATTTACTATTTAATCATACAATAAAAACAGTTAAAGCTATTCATATTTTCTCCCATTATTATCTTTATTTTTTAAATTTTTTAATGTGTTTGTGAAGCTACTTGAGCTTGTGATTTTTATCTAGAGGAGCTTTATAAAAACACGTTCTACTCCAAAAATGCATGGAGGAAATCTGTAGGTAGAAATAACTTTTAAATGTATTAAACAAAAAATGCACACAGTTTTCCCTGCATTACCAAGGCAGGCTGGCTGCACGTTTTTGAAGCCATCTGATAGTTTTTCCTCACCAACGTCAGTTCTGTTAGAGACGCACGCATTCTGACACCTTTAGCTTGTTTGAATTAATGTGCGCCATCAGAAACATTCAAACCACTTTTAAAAGAGAAGTTAAGCTTTCAAGTCAAATTAAGTGCATGACTCCGCACTCGCGCTGATGAAGCATAAACCAAGCTTTAGAAATCAGCCTGAACCTGCTCCGATGTGGGAGGAGTCTCTCTCTCCCTTACTCAACTACGTTCTCTCTCTTTCTCTTTCCCCGGCTCACCTAAGGTGCCATTATTATCGGCTCTAGCAGCGCTGTGTGTGGAAACATAAAACAGGGAAAATAACCTGAACATGCAGCTCTGTCAGCAGTGGAGCTGGGCTCGGCTCTGGACGGTACATCCTACCCACCTCCCCCGCGTTGGCTTTTGCCGCCGCCATAACACAGGGGGAAAACCCGGGATGTAAAAAAAAAAAAAAAAAGTCACAAAACTGATCCTGGATCAGTCAAAACTGCTAAAACCTCAGCTTTGACAGTCACGTGATCGTGCTGTTTGAAATCGCAATTTCGGTCCAAAAACGATAGATCGTTCTGTCCTAATGGAGAACACAGAATTATGTGGTTGAAAATAATGCCACTTCCACATTTGGCCTGGTCTGGGCTGGGTGGCATCAGTTCAGGTCCAGCACTGGTAGGTTTTGTTCACACACACACAAACACACACATCTCAGTAACAAGGAAATCTCCAAGCATGTGGGCGGGGCAAAAGATGTGTGGGGAAGTCCATGGTGTCTCCTTTAAATTAAAGAAAGTGGGCAGTGTTGGTTTTAGAGACTGACACTGATATTGCAACCAGACTGCCATTGTCGGTACAGGATCGGGGTCCTTCCACTGCCGATGACGTCAAAGTAGTTGACTGGCTGAACATGAAGCTTACGGAAGTTACGTTACCACGATATGATTTTGATTGGTCAGAACAAATTTGCAGTCGTAGTCTTAGATGTTGTAGTCCTGTAGTCCAAAAATCAACACTTTTTGGCGAAAATATGTTTGAATTTCTTAAGGAAATGTAAAATATGAGCAAATGATAAACGGTGACCCTCAAAAGCTCTTGATGTTGATGAAATGGGGCAAAATAAAATATAAGAACTTTACTGAAAGACACCAAGCAATATTTTGAATCAAAGAATGTATTTAGATAACAACTAAGGAAATATACAGACAAACTCCACATTAATACAAACAGACATGGCTGACATAAGAACTAGAGCTGAGGAAAATAATCAAATAATCGATGCATCGGGATGCGGACATAAACGATTCTGCATCGTAGAAGAGTACGCCATAATCGATTATAGTGGAATATAGTTTTGTTTTTTAACGGCGGCACCAGCGCTGATCCAAATCTGTCAAGAGTGAGCGTCCTCCACATTTACCAAGTGGTTCCGCCTTAATGTGGTACTGCAGGGCTGAGCGCTAGAGTTGTAACCTGAGACCGAACGGGAACCGAATCAGCCCGACCAGTTCTGTTGGATTTGGGCTGTGAATTAAGTTAATTGAGCGGGTTGTCGTGTGGCGCGCTCCGCTCGCTCGATCAGCGACTGAGAGAGAGAGAGAGAGAGACTGTCTGCTCACACGAGAGGATCGGAGGACGCTCCTCCGAACCGATGCTCCAAACATGCATTATTATTTTCATAATTTAATTATTATTTCTCCTGGAAGCGCTCAGTCAGTCAGACCGAGTGTTGTAATGCTGGGAGATACGGTCTTGGGGAGGGGTCAATGACGGCGGCTGCAGCGTGATCGTCTGTCTTTTATTTAGGGACACGGAGAAGTTAAAAGGAGAGAGAAATAGAAGAAAGAAGTTCTTGTTCCACTTTATTCTTTTGTTTCATGAAGATAAACTGATGTTAAATTCAGCTGAAAGAGAAGCTGGGAGGAAGCTTTGGTTCATTTTAGGTTACAGGAGGTCTTGTCTCCTATCTGCTCCTCCAGAGACAGCATGGACATGAGGGTTACATGGTGAGGGTCACACAGGACAGGTTAGTGGAAAGGTTTGTAGTTAGCTGGTTAGTGAAAGAGATCCATCAGCTGGGTAATTTAATCCTAATCCAGCCCACAGCCTTCTGTTGGTGTTATTATCAGAAAGAATAAAACACACATCTTAAGTAATATTGGAAGTGTAGAATTTGTTTTATGTTTTATTATTTTCTGCATCAAACAGAACTTGATTCATTCTCCAACAATTCAGAAACGAACCACTGGGTTCAAATAAAATTACAAACTAAGTCAAACATTTAATTTGGTGTTATTTCTGACACCCTTCAACTGCAGCATAAATATCTGACTCTAAAGCTGCTCAGAGACATTAAACACTCATATATGAACCCATTATGTATTTTATTATTACATTATGTGTCCTGTAGGTTTTCAGTACTTTTTTAGATTTTGCAAAGCGTGTTTTTCTCAGCCTGAGGTGTGGCTGTTGAACGAGGAAACAGATGTTTTACTTTGTTAAATCTTCTTAAATGTTTAAAATGTTTTGTCCTAACCTGTTGTGAACGGAGAGCTTTTGAGGGATGGCAGGTTGTGTCAATTACGTTTTTGATAAAAATAAAAATAAAGCAATTATCTGACATCTTCTATTTATCGATGAAAACAAATCAATATGAAATAATCGTGATGCATCGTGATATCAAATCGAATTGAATCGTTGACCCAATAATCGTAATCGAATCGGGAGACAAGTGAAGATTCACTCCTCTAATAAGAACTGTTCTATTTTTTGTCAGTCCGATGTTGGTTTTATGCAGTTTCACATTCTTTACAAAACAAAGATAATATGGTGTTTTATTAACAAATTACAATTATAAAGGAAACATTTAGGTGTTAACAAACAAGAATTTATTAACTAAACTGCTGATGTCTTTCCAAAACGTATGTGTGAAAGCAGAGTAGATTTGCAGTAATGTGACGTCATCGGCAATCGAAGGACCCCGAGCTGATCCTGCACCCGAGCAGATCCTGTACCGACACCGGGTCTGTCCTCGCACTGTACAGCTGAAGCCTGAGCAGCGCTGTTTCTCTGTGTGTGTTCCTCACAGCATGTCTCGGTGACGGAGACTGAGGCCTAGTCCACACGTAGCCGGGGTTTTTTAAAAACGAATATCCGCCCCTCCAAAAACTTGCATCCACACCACCGCGTTTTAAAAACAAACTCTGTCCACACGTACCCGGATAAATACGTTGTTAAGGACATGCCAGACCTGTAGGCGGCAGTACTTCCCCCGTTCTTAACCTCGTCCTTTGTCTGTGGTCTTCCGCAAGGAGAAGTAATTCCGCTTGCAAAAACAAACAAGCAAAAAGCGCTTGGACAATTGATGGATCGGGTAGTGACAGAGCGCAGCTCTGAGGGCATCCATGATGCCGGCTAGTGTAAACACAGGTCGCACACGTGATGTCAGCATTTTTTTGTCGCGGAAAGTGACGTTGCGGACCTTAAAACTCCGGTTTTGTCCGTCCACACGCAGACACCCAAAACGGAGAAAACGCAGATCTTCACTTTGGACGGAGTTTTTAAAAAGATCCGTTTTCGTGTGAAAAAACTCTGTTTTCGTGTGAATGACAGGCCAAAACGTAGAAAAATATCTACGTTTTGGCAGATCCCCGGCTACGTGTGGACAGGGCCTCAGAGACGGCTTCAGTAAAAAAACTAATGTTTACTCCTCAGTATCCAGAATGATAATGAACTGCACATGCGGGAAGCCCCTACTGCCTGATTCTACCCACCAAACAGAGGCTCCCCCTAATGTTAGGTGTAAATTTGAGCTTGCCAATCAGCTGGCAGTGGGTGTGTTGAGTCAGTTCAGCCCAAA